TCCATTCTAAAAAAGAAGAATTCTATTGGTTCTAGATGTCCAAAGGTAACTTGTTAAAAGCAGGGGACCAGAATACAGGTTTCTTCCACTGGATAGCTAACTGTCGCAGAAGAGACAATACGATCTCCACCATCAAGGTGGATAATCGATATTTGGTTCAGCTGGTGGAAATCGAGTCGGCCATCCTTGGGTTCTTCAAGACTCTCTACACTGCCCCCTCTGGGTCACAGACCAAGGATGGCCAACCTCGATTTCTTAACTCTTCCGGACCACTGGGCACTTTTGCTGGAGCGCCCTTTCTCAGAAGAAGAAATTTCCAAGGCTTATTGATGAGTTAGCCAAAGACAAAGCACCGGGTCCAGACGGATTCCCCATTGCCCCTTTCAAAATCTTTTGGGAAACCTTCCAACCATATTTCAAGAGTTTTTTTGAGGAATTCTTCCAACGGGGAATCCTTCATAAAGCCATCAATGCCACTTTCATAGCTTTAGTTCCTAAGGTCGAAGGGGCAGAGGAATTAAAGGACTTTCGTCCAATTAACCTACTCAATTCCTCGTACAAAATTCTGGCCTCAAGGCTAAAACAAGTCCTTCCCCTTATCATCTCGCCGTCACAGTCAGCCTTCATCAAAGATAGGCAAATCCTAGATGGGGCTTTAGTGGAACACATGTGTCTACACTCCATGCACATTTCCACGAAGCTCAGTCTTATTTTCAAAATTGATTGGGAGAAAGCATATGACCACGTAGACTAGTCAATACTAGACGAGAAAATGGCGAGAATGGGATTTGAGGACCTCGAGAGAAAGTGTATGAGAGTCTGCTACTCTCATCCCCACTTCTCGGTCCTCATTAATGGGACTCCAAAATGGTTCTTTCCATCCTCGAGGGGGCTCTGCCAAGGGGATCCACTATCCCCTTTTCTCTTCGCCATCGCAACAGAAGTCCTCAGTCGCTCAATCTCTCGTTTGTACCAAGAAGGTCTCCTCACTGGCTTCAAATGCAGCCCTCAAGGCCCAACAGTGTCTCATCTGCAATATGCAGATGATACTTTGGTGTTCCTAGATACTTCTCCAGAAGAAATTGAAAATATGAGGCTTTATCTCGAATGCTTCGAGGCAGCTACAGGCTTCAAAGTTAATATGGATAAATCAAAGATGATGGGGGTGGCACTCACAAACACCTAAACCAGAGCGCTAATTCCAAATTGGGAATGCAAAGTCGAGGACTTCCCACCACCTACCTGGGTCTATCCTTGGGACTGGGAAAACCTAAAAAGAAACAATTGTCCCAAGTGATAGACAAAGTTGACAGGTGTCTGGCAGGCTGGAAAGGGAGATTCCTATCTCTGGCTGGCCGCATCACACTGATTAAAGCAACATTGGCAAATGCTTTAGTCTACCTAATGTCTCTCTTCCAAATGCCAGTCTCGGTGGCCAACCGCCTAGACCAGCTGATGAGGAATTTCCTCTGGTCAGCACAAACTGAGAAAACCAAATGTCACCTCATCTCTTGGGACAAGGTCCGATTACCCAAACTCCAGGGAGGGCACATGATTAGGACTTTAAGAAAACGCAACCTAGCCCTTTAAGGGAAATGGTGGTGGCGCTTAGCCACTCAGAGACTAATTCCCTCTGAGTTCAGGTCATACGCAGCAAATATAGTATTTCGGATGAAGCTTGGGTGCCTGAGAGGAAAGCTCAAAGTAGGGCCTCAGGGGCGTCGAAATCCGTCGCCTCCTCCCTCTCACTGTTCAAAAAATTCATCCGATTTCATCTTAGAGAAGGAACAAGAGTGCGCTTCTGGTCAGACCTCTGACCAGGACGCACTCCTTTAAGGAACCTCTTTCCATCCCTATACCATCTTGCCTCTAACAAAGATTCTACCATTGCATATGAAATGGTCCTATCAGGGGACCGAAGAGTTTGGAACCCCTCTTTTAGAAGAAACCTCACTGAAGAGGAAACTAGCCTTTTCCTTTCACTTTCGGCTGCCTTGCATTCCATTTTCATAGCTCCACTTGGTAGGGACTCTCTAGTATGGACTCTCGCTCCTTCTGGTACCTTCTCGGTGGCTTTGTTTTACAAAAGACTTATCCAACCCCCCACCTTCCCTCTCAACCCTACCTCAGTCCTATCCAAGGTTTGGTCTACCATTGCTCCTCCCAAAGTACAGACCTTCAACTGGATTGCCTGCTCTCAACGAGCTCTCACAGTTGACGATCTTCAAAAGAAAGGGATTCCAATCCCCAATAGATGCACCATGTGTTTGAGTGAGGAGGAATCGAATCCACACCTCTTCAGTCACTGCAGCCTCGCTTATGACTTGTGGAGCCAAGTGCTATAGCTTTTCCTCCTTCAATGGGTCACTCCACCCTCGGTCAAGGCTCTTATTTCCTTATACCACCCTTCTTATTAGCCGAAGGCTGGTAGAACCTTGTGGAAGGCTGCCATCACAACCGTCATCTGGGTCATCTAGTTAGAAAGGAACGCCAGGGTCTTCCGAGGCCACAAAAATGTAGTCTCAGCTCTCTTCCACAAGGTTACTTCTCTACCAACTTTCTGGGCCTCCAACCACAGGGCTTTCTCCGGGATTTCGGCAAACACTTTTCTCAGTCAATGGGAAAACATCCTTAATCTCCAACCACAGAAGCTCCAAAGACCCAACAACTGGCTGCCACCTCTAGAAGGCGCTATTAAGCTTAATTTCGATGGTTGTTCTCTGAGGAACCCTAGCCTTGCTGAAGCCGGAGGTGTCTTTCAAGACCGTCATCGCAATATCTTGTTCCCCTATGAAGATTCTCAGAATGCTGAAGCCATGGCTCTGCTCTTGGGTCTTAAAAGCTTCAACCGTTCATGGGGATCCCATCTGCTGGTGTAAGGAGACACCCAAAATATTATTTCTTGGGCAGTAGGGACTTCACCACCTCCATGGTACCTATCTTCGATTTTTGATGAGATTGCTTACACTTCCAGGGATATGGTCATCTCATGGAAGCATATTTGGAGGACGTCCAAGGAGTTCGCCAATCTTCTGGCGACAGACGGAGCTAGGGCCCGAGCAGAAGACCCCGCCGAGTCCATCTCCTTTTTTGCTCTGGACCACAGAGGGCGTACTGGTGTTTAGCTACACCTTAGTACATTTCTTGTAGTTGGGCAAGTTTATAAGCCCCTTGTTTTGTAACTCCAAAGTATATCTATTGTAATTAGGCAGGTCTATAAGCTCAATTTTTTGTATAGGGTCTTTTGACCTATGTTTTGATCGAGAGACCTGACTTGTGGGTACTCTTGGATGCTGCTTCTGTACTCCAACACTCTACTGCAAAAGTTAACTTTTTCAGCAAAAGAACTTTACTCAAAAAAAAAAACCCCTAAGCTAAAATGGACATGTTAAGGGAGAGTGGACATGTGTTGCCCATGCTAAGGATACACGTCATCTATCCTACATTCTTTAAGTTTTCTCTCGAGTTTTAAAATATTTTGTAAGGGTAATAAAAATGGCCTTTTTACAAATACATTCAAAACACATTTTCTCTTTCTAGCATTCTTTTAGTTTATCATTTTTTACTCTCTTTCTTAGGGTTATCTGAAATCTATTAATCTTATCAGATATCTCTCTCTCTCTCTCTCTCTCTCTCTCTCTCTCTCTCGCGACTTGCATTTGGCATTTGATATATAGTTACATTTCCGTCTCTCTCCTTTGACTCTTTCCTTTAGGGCAAGTTTGGTACGCGTGAAAATACTTTTCATGAAAGTATTTTTGGTGTAAAAAAATGCGCTGGGATTAATTGGTGTGAAAAGACTCTCAAACCTAATCACAAGAGGGAGTTTTTTCACATTAAAATACTTTTATGGAAGTATTTTCATGTGTGCCAAACGTGCCCTTAGGGTTTGTATGGACTCAGTGTCTATTTTGCAGACCATGTGACAACGTTATGAGAATGATCAAGTGGGCTCCCCAGCTAAAATCGAATCTCTTGAGAGCCTTGAGCAGTGCAATAGCTTACACCCAATTGGAATCTCCATGACGGATGTGGGTGGAGAACTAGAGAAGTCCTGTGGAATTTCTCAAAATGCCTCAGCTCCGCACGGACCTAGATCTAAAAACGTTATGATTTTATTATCGAGCAAGTATTACGAAAATGAAAATCAATATGTAATCACCAGAAAAATGCATGGAAAAAAGTGATAGTTTGATAAAAAGAAGCTAATTCCTGATTGCTACAAAATTCATTATACCAAGAAAGATCAAGTTTTACGCACTCGCTACGCCATTACGAAGTATGTTTAATGCAACATCTGTCTACCATGTCAGTGGAATAAAATATGATTCCATTCTGGTCTGCTTATCTATTTGGTTTCACTGTTTGGTGAAGTATGAGGTGATTAGTGGCGGAACTTTCCATGTTAAAAATGCTTACACAAGAAAAACTTCATTCTTTTCAATGGCTGTGAATGTGGGTCATCTTCAGAGGATAAGTGACAAGTGGTACATCATAGAAACATGGATGGATACTATTACTACATTATACACACACAAGCATAAGGACCCTTTCTTCACTATTGAGATGACTCTGGAGGTTGGGTTGGTCATCTTTAGAAGTTGAGTCCTTGGTGAAACATAAAAACATGCATCCTGACAACACAAGAAAGGGTGTTAATACACTTCAAAGGTTTAAAGATGACCCACATTTGCAGTCCCTCTAGCCTTCTGCTTGGGTTGAAGCACTATATACAATTGGTCTGGTGTGTTATGTATTCATTTTAGTCATGAGCACTATATACAGTTATCTACTGCTAATCAAATGCCCTATGAAGCCACTGTTGTTGCCTACTGTTCTCCAATTATTTTTGCTCTGTATGTGCCGTGACCATTGTGGTTTGTTTCATGACTTATTTAATGATATGTCCTTTTGTTTGATGTGCATATGTAGGACTTTTTTATTTACAAATAATGTATTTCCTGATTTGTTTGTGTTTGTGTGTGTATTTTGGTTTACAGGTTGAAAAGGTTGATGAAAATGAGTGGTGGACGAAGATGGAAGATATGGAACGGAGTGGTCAGCAGGAGCTGATTGTTAAGCGTAACTATGGGCGTGAGGGTCAAAATATTCTTGAGGATATGGCTCATCAACTAGGCCTTTACTTGTAAGGGATATGGTTATGTCGAGTATGTTTGTATCTCTAGCTGTATAAACAGTTTATTCAGTTCTTTACAGTCTGTGTGGCTGTGAAACACAGAATATTGGTCGCTTCAAATGGTTTCATTTTGTAATGAATCTTATGGATTTGCATGCATATTCGTGTTACAGTGTTTGACTGTGTATGAGAGCAAACATATGGGTGGACCTTATGTTCATATCTATTTCAAAGAAGAAAGTTAAAATGATTTCTGCCCTCTGTGTGACATTTTTAAAGTCCTCTGACCAATTCAGTTGCTTTGTAATGGTTGCCAACATTTGGAATTGTTTTTGAATAAAGGGAATTGTTGTCTGATAGTAAAGAACAATGTCTTCCTTTCTTGAAGTTTTAGTTTTGAAGCTAGTATCAGTGGATGACCATCTAAAAAGCCTTACACTTGAATAGGATGTAATAATTTATGTACCATGCAGATGTGCATGAGTGGCCATGCATATCTTGCCATAATGACCAACATGGGACTGTTTGGTATTTGCTCCACTCACATTTCATTTGGGACTGCTTCATTGCCTAAAAAGTTTCAGATCTAATTTTTATGGATGTGGCACCACTAAGTGGAAAGATTTCTCTCATAGAATAGTACTTTAATAATCTATCTATGCAGGTTCTTGGACCAATGACAGTCTTAATATGGCTCGTATTTTTCTAATAGAACATGGTCTCCTTGCCTAATTCTCAAGACCATTAAAGCTAAATACAAAAGAAAAATAAAAGAATTGAAAACCTGGGTCTGAGTGGCGTGGGAGGTGGGAATGACCTCCTGAGCAGTAGGATTTTATGATTCTACAGAGGCGGAGAGATTGGCACTGCTCACAAGTACTAGAGGGTGGTGTATAGATTTTATAGGTTTAATAATTGTGGAAGGGGATTGTCTTAATGTGATCAGGTGGGCACTGGGAGACACCATATCAATGAAGAATGGTGGACTATTTTGACGGTAATCAAATTTCTCACTAGCTTACATGATATATCTTCTAGTATCTAGGCATGTCCTCAGGTAGGTCAACTGAACAACAACAAAGCAAACCTACTGATACTTAGTAGCATTAGGTATGCAGGTTCTACAGCTTTTAGCTTCTCTCTCTTTCTCTCCAATCTTATATTCTCTGTACAACTTTATGTTTTACATCTCCAATGATAGTTAACTATCCCAAAAATACAGAAAGAAAGAGGGGTGGTGGGGTGGGTAGGATGGGAAATGGCTTTGGTCTTCTTTAGGAGAAGTCAAAGAGCTACTTCATGAAGAAACAAAATGTCTTGGATCTTCATTTGTACTAGTTGCAGTATTAGGTTACACATTCGGTACTGCTATGGTAATCTGTACGCATGCTGCCACTGTACCTTGCTGGCATAAAAATAACAATCAATAATGAGTCAGATACTCCAGGACCCGTCAATGGTATCCAATACCTGCTTCTCCAAGATCTGTAAATGGCATTATGTTGCCCTAAAGACTTCTTAAGGGTTTCTGTCCCTCTCTTCTCAATCTCTCCCTCGTGGGGAGGTCCTCTGCATCTCCTTGCCTCTTTTTTAAATATGGTTTGGCAACTTAACTCGTCTATTCTGCTAATTACCCATCTGCAACCCCTCTGAAATCCCTGAACCTACCTTTCTCTCACCTCCATCTATCTCTGGCTGTCAGAAACAACCTAGAAATTCCTATCCTAACTTCCCAACTTCTGCACATCCACCACAAAGTTCACATCTACCACAAGTAGTAAATGTCACTCCAAAGTAATTGCCCCATCTTCCTCTGAGACGTTAAAAGGCCCACTCCTGGTTACCCTCCTTATATCCGTATCCTCTCTGAACCCAACCAATATTTAAACGCAAATCACAATGTCCGCTAGTGTCCTGCACTTCTACCGACTCAACTCCCTTGCTTCAACGAAGACTTCTAACCACCAACCCCAAATAGCTCCCTCTTTGGCTGCTTCCAAGCCCTCTGCCCCAGAGAATCATGCCTTCCCTACCCGAAATCTTTTACTCTCTACTGGTGATAACTCGAGTCCCAACCAGATCCTTATCCTTGGTCACCATCTACAACAAAGAATTGACTCCTTGCATAACTCGATTATAGCCGAGTTCTATCCACCTAGACATGCCTTAAAAAATATTCAAATATGTGCTTCTCCAAGTCTCCAAGTAGATCTCCAATGTAATCACATGTTCTCCTCTCCAGAATGGAGTTCACCTGCTTTCATTCCCTTTTGAAGATCTGAAGGAAGTGTTTCCACTCTCAAAAGATCTTTTCTTCAGGTATGGCAAACTCCGTCTTAAGCCCAGGAGCCCAGTCTTCTTGTCTTTAATCCTCAGTCGGTTTTGGATCCTGGTTAGAGGAGGAATCTCTCTTCATGCTTGTCTCTCAGCTATCTTCAAAGCAACAGGTGACCTCTGTGGAGGTTTCATTAAGCTTAAGTCCAAATACGTGTAGAATCTCCCTCGAGGCACTGCTTTTCTACTAGTTCAGGTTCCCCCATTGGAAGCTACCCCCCAAACCTTACTTCTTCGTTTTGGCAACCTCTCCCACTCCATCTCCAATCTCCCTCAAGGAGCAGATCCACCGGGCAGGACTTTGGTCATTACAGACCGCCATCCTTGCCTCCATACTACTGTCCATACTCCTTTTGTAAATACTTAAATAGATTATAAAGTCATCATTCTCCAAGGAAAAAAAAAAAGAATTATTATGTGGCTCATAGACTAGGCATATTCTTGCTCTAGAAGCCTTATTCGAATTATTGGTCCCTATGTTGTTTACCTGTGGTGTCAATAAACTAGATGTCCATCACTTCGGACATTGTGCTGACTCTTATCTGTTGAAAAGCGGTGTGGCACCTACTAAAGGAACATTGGGCATTCATTGCACTATATGGTACCAGTTAAAAATATATAGAATGTAAATAATCCATTTAGTAGGGTGTGGCTAAAGGTTGTATCCAGTGATTTAAAAAGCGGACCGCCTAGTGCCTAAGCGGTCCAGAAAGCCTGGGCGCATCACCCAGTCTTAGGCGGCCAAATTAGGCGGATATCCCTGTGCGCCAGCCTAGGCGCTTGAGAACCCGCCTAGGCTGGCCGCCTAGGGCCTGCTCCCCGTCCAGGGGCGGAAATGCCCCTCGTTGAGGGCATTTTTTTTTATCATGTTTTTAATACTAAAGGGGTAAAATTGTTGGTTTTAGGTTCATTTTGAGACCTAAAACCTATTAGAGCCTATTTTAGAGAGAGAAAATCCCCACAATTTTTTTCTTTCTACTGGGCCGCCCAGGTTTTGGGTGGCCCGTCTAGGCACTGGGCAGCCTGGATCCCCCTGACCATGCTAAGGCTTTTTGAAACACTGGTTGGATCTGTATGGGGCCAGAAATGTGCTCAAAGGCCAGTGCCTGAGCTTAGTCTGTTGTCATCTTGCCTGGCCCAGGTTTAGCCTTGCCCATTATCAGTTTGGGCTGGCTCTGGGCCTAAGTACGAGCCAATTGAGAGTGATAACTATGTTTTGAAAAATATTTTCTATATTTGACCTTGGAATGTATTGTCCAAAAAGCTAATACCATAATCGTTAATGGCGAAGGATGATAGTTGCATACTTCTATGACTCAAAAATTTACTACTGGTAGTATAAGGGCCTTAAGGCCAGAAGCCCTAAGCCTAGGCGCAGCCCTTTAAGGCATTGGACCTGCGATCCTTGTCTTTGCCTAGACCATGAGCCATAATAGAGCCCTGTTCTCTATCCAAATAGGGCCATGCCTAAGTGCCCATTGTCAGCCCTACTTAGGTGGGTGCATTTGTGTTTGGTTGAGTTTTGTGTGCCCATTGCCAGCCCTACTTAGGATTAGGTGGCTGCATTTGTGTCGGGTTGAGTTTTGTGTGTTTTGGGATGAAATTAAAAGATATGACTGAGAAGTTCATTGAGGAACGATATTGAAACTTAATGACTGAGAAGTTCATTGAGGAATAATAGTGGAACTAGTAGTTTCCCAGTAAATACAAAGAATCTTGATGTTGTGATTGAAAACTTAGGGTGCGTTTGTTTCGTGGAAGCCGTGGCTTTCTCAACTGTGGCACTTCCTGCATTTATTTCTTGTCGTTAACCAATATGAGCATATTGGGGGTGGCTAGCTCCTACGATTCGAATACACATCAATTCTCGAGCCCCGTTGTTGTCTGCTGCATTCAAATAGGTTTGAGTTTGAATCATATATTATTTTTTTAAGTACTGTTGGGGAGATTATAGTTAGTGGCTCTTCTGTTAGGGTTTTGAGTTGGAACCTCTAGTCATGGTCTCATCTCACAACAAGCTGTGTGGTCTAATCCCCATTAGCTAGTCGGTAGTCCGTTAGCAGTTCATGAAGTGAACGAGTAAAGGAGGGATTGTCCAACTGAACGGTGTACAGTTAGTGTTGCGACTAGACGAACAGAAAGTGGGGAGGTGGCTACGGTACTAAAGACCCTAAAAGATGTATACCGACTGGACTTAGGGTTCAAGACTCCCACTGGGTGTATTCAAGAGTGGCAAGCGTTCATTGCAGCTGCTGCGCAATGGCCCTTTTTTCCCTCATTTAGTTGAGTCGGTATCGTCATCAAATACCAATTAGCAATATCCCGTCTTGTCAGTCAGTAAGTAGAGTTGGTATAAAACAAACCTGCCTTTGTCTCTTTGTTTAGTCAGTCAGTCTGTAAAAATCAATGTACTCAGTCTGTAAATATCAATGTACTATGTTTTGGAAGCTGCTGCATCCAGGGCTTCCAAAACAACGACAATTGACGTTATCTTATGGAAGCAACTGCTTCCATGTTAACTCATGAAAGCAACAGCTTTCCAAAGTGTGTAGAAGAGGTGTCTTTGGTAGCTCCCTCTTCCACAAAACAAACATGACCTTAGTCTTTTAAATTGAGCAAACAAGATAGTTTGTGCTGTAGTCATGAAAAATTTCTATGATGATTATTATTATTTTTTGTTTTTTGAGTTTTTTGGGCATGAGTTTTTGCCTTTCTTTCTTCGTTGACTTCACTATGGCAAACTGTACATGGATTAGAGGAAATTTGTAGTTTTTGCTATTGCTCTTCCATACTTCATTTTAGGCTCTGAGCATGATAATACTATACTTTACTTTCATTGTATGTATTCTGTGTTAACCTCATGTTGCAGCCTTTTGTAACGATCCTTTTTACATGTTTTTGCATAACTGTATCGAAAGAAAGCCATGCTTACAACAAAGGGCGAACTCTTGTTGTGAGCAAGATCCCATTACCAAATTATCGGGCAGATCTTGATGAATGGCATGGATCCACACAACAAGAGGTACATTGTATTGGAAAATATTTCAATCTGGGTTGACTTGTGGACATTCATTAAAAGAAAGTAGTATTTCCATGCAAATCATAAAATCCACACCATGTTTTACCTTTGATCCTGACCCATTTGGTTGCAGATTCATATGTCAACTGAGATACAGCGAAGGGTGGGAAGCATTTTAGCCAACTCAAAGGAAGATGTTCCTGCTGCTGAATCCATTGGTGCATCGAGCCAGGCGAGGCCACAATTGCTTCCTATTGGAGAAATGAGGAACTCTAAATCTCCTTTGGCATTGGATGCTCTGAAGGAGAGAATTAATATCGAACTTAGAGACGAGCAACATAAGGGGAGGGTTGGTATTTATATATTTACTTTGGTACTATTTATGGATTCTAGCTGATCGAAGGAGTGGGGTCCACAGAGGAATCAATATAATCATAATCTCCAAACTATACCTGAAGCATCTCTTCTTTGGCAAGACAATTATGTTAACTATTTATCTGACTCATACTTTTCCCTCTTTTATCTATGTAGGACACTCCATCTTCCAAAGAAATGCTAGGTCTTAGGGAAACACTACCTGCCTATAAGTTGAAGCATGAATTTTTGAAAGCCGTAAAAAACAATCAGGTAAGTTTCCCTGCACATGACATTATCTTACCTTGTAACATTTGCTTTTTTATTTATTTGATAGTAATTTATTGAATATTCCCTCTTCCATCCACTTTTTGTGGGTATTACATTTCTTGTATTTGAATGAAAATATCCCCCTTCTATGCCCAAGGTAATCATTTTATCTGCCACCTGGATACCTTTGTTGATGCCTAAATGAAATCTATAACTTGAAAGTCTAAAGAATACTAAATATCAGAGATTTAGCCACTCTCTTGACATTGTCTACAGTTATTCTCAGATTGCCTTTTGTAACCTCGATGATGACATCTCTAATAGCTTTTTAGACATTTGGAACTTTTGTCTTCTATTGCTTTCTCCATTGCATGTTTATGTACCCTTTGTTACGTAATATATATATAGGAAAACTCTTCCCAACGCCTATAGGTGAAAATGAACAGTGATTTCGCCTACCCTCCTCACCGTCCAAACTATATCGCACGGTCACAATTGTCCGGTAGTGTTTCAATTTGCAATTTTTTTCTACAAATTCATATTACTTTAAATTTGGAGCGTGTGTACATCTTAGTGAGGCGCACCTAATAAAAATATGAAAAAACTAATTCGCAAAATATAGTCGTGGGAGGCAAGGCACACAGGGATAGG